CAAAGCCCTGTGCTCACTTCCTTCTCTTTCCCCCAAGTGGATGGACCTCTTTCTGCTCTGCGCTTCCTAGGACTGGGGAGGGCTGAGGTAGGTCCTTTCTGCCCTCTTTCATGCATTTTTTCCCTATTTTTGTGCTATTGGCAGGTACTGCGATCTCTCACCTGGCTTTCTTAGGTCCTATGCATACATTTTCACATGTGGAATATGTTTTGTTGTTAAAATTGATGACTCTGCAGCAGAACAGCTACTGCAGAGTCCTTCCTCATCACCCTCCTCCTCCTCACCCACTTTGAAACCTGCCAAGGCTCCAACCAGCAGCAGGAAGTGCTGGATTTCCCTGATTTTGGCACTCAGTCCTCACCTGTCTGTGATGGGAGAAGAATTTTCATCATATATTTGGACTGGTCTGTGAATAAGGGACCAGGTCATTTTGAGTATTTGCTATTTTTGCAAAAATTATAAATCTCAACTAAACAAGGAAACTACTGAAGTTGCTGGGGTATAGAGACCAAAGATCCAAATATCAACTAATCATCAGAGCACTGGGTCCTCATTGTCTTTCTGTACCCTGGGGATTGGTGCTGGGGTCTTACCTCTTTGAGGGACAAGCAAGGACCCTAAAGAGGGGAGAATAATATCTTGTACAAGGATCCATTTCTGACAGCAAACGAAGAGGATGCCCATAAAGTCTGAGGGCGCCAGTCAATAAATGGTTTACTGACTTAATGTTATAGTACGTGTACATGTAATCTAATATGTACATTTCTAGACTTCATAGTTTCTATTGAGTTTTAAAATTGGAACAAGTAATGTTGGGGCTGAATAAAAGATTGCATCTTGTGTAAACGATAGTTGGCTAAGATTATTGACTGTTTGATAAAGCTATGTAAATGGGATTCTCTTCTGTATACACTAAAGTGTAAATATTGCCCCCCAGACCTTCCTAAGAGTGCAATAATTGACAGTAGGCCTGGAAATGCTCAAAAGTCTGAGCGAATGGCAATCAAGGTTTGCCTAATTCCAGAGCTCCTGTTTATTCCTCTGTATCATGATTTTTGCTAACTAGAAGAATTAATGCTGGACTCAAGTCACCTACATTATAATCAAGGAGTTGTTTGGATATTAATAGGCTCTGAGTCATGCAGTTAAAAAAAATATGCTACTGGCTTGTCTTATCCTGATAAAATAAAAGCAGCTCTTTATAAACCAACAGAAGAGAACATTCTTGAGTCAATTTGACCTATCCAAATTTCACATCACATTGTTAATTCCAAAACTCCAGAAAGGATTCCTTAAATTGGGTAAAATGGTCAGGATGGGTAAGGTCTTCTCCAGAAAGAGAAATGATGATGTTCTAACTGTCTTAAGGCAATTTGATTATAGAGGCTCATTTCTTTTCCAGTGTCATTTCTGAAGATTATCTTTTGCTGAAGGTGAAGTTACAAACTCCTATGGAATGTCTATAGAAAGTTTTGCTACTTAATCCTGACTTTTACATGACTGTAAATCACAGATTTTCAGAACTCACAGAGATCTCAGAGATGTCTGACCCGATTTTCTCATTTTGTAGGGAATGAATCCAAGAGCTTTCCCTAAAGGCCTCCTATGGGCAAAGACACCCCCCCCCCCGCCAGGTGACATGTTTGTCATTGTGTTTCCCTGTAGCACAGTGCCTGACATGTGGCAGGACTCAACAGGCACTTGCTGATGGACCTACTGATTGAGAGGATAAGATGCACACTCCTGATGAGTCGGAGAGCCGCCAGCCGTATGAGTGCCAGATACAGTACTTCCCTCCCTTGATACCAGTATCACAATTTATTCTAGTTTCCAGGAAAAAACTTCCAAGTGTCCAGATTAACAGTCAGGAAGCATCTGTAGCTTTTTCCATTTACCAAAGGGGCTCTGGCTCTTCTCTCCATAGTCCCTAAAGTTGACAACTTCTATATTTCTACTGAGGACGGGAAACAGCACAGACATTAGCAGTCTATTTACCCATCTACCTACTTGAGATTAGGGATGGGGAAGGGTCTGGCTTCCATGAGACACCTCATAGGAAAGCACCATATGTTTTCATCTCACCTGGTTATCTCCTAAATCCTCTTTTTGGCTTTATAGGAGACTTTCAGAGAATTCTGTTAAATGGGACATAAGAATTGTGAAATTGCTTTCAAATATTTTTCCTTCCCATGAGGACAGTTGGGATAAAAAGATGTGACAATTGAATATTTTTCCCTTACTTTCTTTCTTTCTTTCTTTTTTGAGACAGAGTCTTACTATGTTACTCTTTGTAGAGTGCTGTACCATCACAGCTCACAGCAACCTCAAATTGTTGGGCTTAAGCATTTCTCTTGCCTCAGCCTCCTAAGTAGCTGGGACTACAATGCCTGGCTATTTTGTTGTTGTTGCTGTAGTTATCATTATTGTTTGGCAGGCCCGGGACCGGGTTCGAACCCACCAGCCCAGTGGGTGGCCATTGCCCTAGCTGCTTTGCTATAGGTGCAGAACCATGAATATTTTTCTTAAGATATGATAAGCCAGGCATGGTGGCTCATGCCTGTAATCCCAGCACTCTGGGAGGATGAGGCAGGAGGATCACTTGAGCTCAGGAACTCAAGACCAGCTTGAGCAAGAGTGAGACTCTGTCTCTAAAATAAATAGCAGGACATTGTGGTGGGTGCCTGTAGTCCCAGCCACTTGGGAGGCTAGGACTAGAGAATCATGTGAGCTCAAGAGTTTGAGGTATGACACCACAGCACTCTATCAAGGGTGACAAAGTGAGACTCTATCTCAAAAAAAAATATGATAAAAGTCTCCATGTGCCTCTCCATAGGCTGCAGTCACTATGAACACATGGTTTTTGCAGATGGGAAGATACTCAAAGGATTTAGAGTACTCCTAGCCTTGTTGGTTATCACTGGAATGGTAATCTGATAGTTTTTACAGAGGCTTGGATGCAGAAAGATGTCTCCTGGACATCACCCAGGTGACCTGTGCAGAGCCAGGGCAGTGCCCTAATGCAGGGAAGGGATTCTTGCTAGATAATATTCAGAATTATATTAGATTTGACATAAAGGGAAAGAGAAGGTGTTTTTGTCTCCTGGTCTTCAAATTCTTTCTCTTTTGAATGAAAGAATAAAAATATAATCCTATCCAGATGAGAAAGAAATTTCAAATTTTGGTCTTAATACACCTAGACCCATGGCCTCTGGGTCCTGCCTGACTGTGCCATCTCTGTGCCCTCCCTGAAGGGCTCCTGCTGCTCCTTTGCCTTAAGACAATGTGCCCTACCAACTGCACACCTGACTCACTGGGTGCAGAGTCCAGCAGAAGGCACTGCAGCTCTTTGACAGCTTTCTGTTTGCAAAGACTGTTGAGTGACCATCTTTCTTGCTTATCTTCCATTTTGGGAGGCTGTACTCCCATTGCCAGCTGCTCATCAAAGCATTCTTTCAACAAAATATGGTCTTCATCAAGGGATTTTCATGTTAACTTCTGGGAGGATATGATTTTCCCTAGTCAGTTTCCTTTGGGAAAATGGGGTTGTCTATGAAAATATCTTTTACTGTGATCCAAGTGGGACTTTGAAATGAAAAAAAGATGCGAAGCTACATTTTGGGAAAGTTTCGATTACAAGAATTTTTCCCTGCTTGACCCCACCTTAAAGAACTCGCTCTAAATGCAGTGATTTTCAAGGCCAGCTGTACACTCAGCACATGGGAGGAGCTTTCAAAACCCCATGCTCTACCCTAGATTAGTTAAGTCTGATATTTTGAGGGCAACACCCGGGTGTATGTATATATATATACATATATATATGTATACACACACAGAGTAATATATATAGTAATATATATATAATACACACACATATTTATATGCACAGAGGGTGCCAAAAATGTATGTAGTATATATATTTTAAGAAAGGAAAAAATTATATTAAATTTGGAGTACTCAAGTTATGTTTGACTTCTGTTATTGGTATATATTGAGTATTATACTTTTAATAGTTTTTTTCCTTTCTTAAATTGTGTACACTTTTTTTTGGCATCCTCTGAATATGAGAACATTCTGTTTGTGCATTTTCTTGTCGCTGCCTTGCAGTGGTTGTGTGAGGACGTGACACTTAGGCTGTGCAACTAATTTGGGACCCCAAGGAGAGTTCTGACAATACTGAGCTCCTACTTCAAAGCCAAACATGGTCTGGTTCCAGGGTCCTCAGTACCAGTAATTGCTCCTCCCTTGACCAAACCTCCATTTGTCAGATATGCCCAGAAACGTCAAAGGACTTGCCATATATCCATGAAGCAAACCCTGGTAGCAGCCCTTTCATGCTTTCCTCTTGCCTTTAGGATAAAATACAACCCTGTAACCTTGCTGAGAAAGTCCTCTGTGCTCTGGCTGCTCCTAGCCTACTGTCCATCTGTCACCATCCTTCCTCCCCAGCCTGCACCCGCTGCCACTGCAGCACATCTGATTTCTGCACATGTCTGCTAAGCTCTTCTATTTACTTCCAGAATCCTGTTGATGTCTACCCGCCTTTTGGAGACAGCGTATCCATCTCCATTCTGGAAAGCCTTCTCCAACATCTCAAGTTGAATTAACTGTTTTTCCTCTATTCCCCCAAGTACCTGGATGTGACTTATCACAAAGCTTCTTGTACTGCACGGCAATTGTCTGTGTTCACCTCTCCCTCTGCATCCTAACCTCCCCGAAGATGAGGACTATGCTCATCCTGTTCCTTGCTGTGGCTCCACAAGGACATTTGTAATAACAACTTGTAGCACAAATAATTAAAAGTGACGTATAGGAAAATGAGGAAGCTAACAGGTGCACTGATTTACATGGGAGAACTAAGGGGCAGGTAGTTTTTGTGAAATAAGTGGAAGGGCTCTGCCTTTCACCATGCACACGATTAATCACAAAGGGCAGACGGAGCTGTGTGTCTTCCTCATCACACACGTGGTGAGGAAGGTGGTGTCACGGAGATCACAGCTTACCTGATGGTTTTGATCATGCTGAGGCCCATTTCAACACAGCAGTGGGCATGATCCTGGCGGGGTTCAGGGAGTCCAGAAACACAGTAGTAGCAGTCCCCCAGGATTTTAATACGAAGGCAGTGATGCTCCTGGAGGGAACAGAGTGGGAGGGGAAGGGCTGTGTCAGCAGAAGGATCAGTTCTTCAGAAAGGCTTAGAAAAGAAGTGAACAGTGCTAGCTGGTCTGCACCTTGGGACCAGAAGCACCTACCTTTGAAATTCACTTTCACTCTCTTTGTAGTCAAAATGGGGGCTAGAGGGACCCAGAGGTAGAGGGGAATCATGGGGAAAAAAATTGACATTTTGAGCTCTAATGCTACATGGCTGCCATGTACTAGCTTCATGACCTGTACCCATCACCTGGACGGGTGGACAGGTCTGGCAAAGAGTATCCAAAGGGTTCCACTAGGAATTCAACTCCTGCCAGTCTTTTTTCTTAGAACATTTCTATGCAATCACAGCTTTTAGCAGTCTTTAGCTCAACAATAAGCACTTGCAAATATAAACCACCTAGGGAAGCCTATTATTTCAACTATTTTAAGTCTTTTCCAACTAAGATATTGGCACCTTAAGAAGAGGGACTATGTCTTATATATCCTTTATTCATTTATCAATTCATATGCTTATTCATTGAAAAAAACCAGAAACATCAGGGCGGTGCCTATGGCTCAAAGGAGTAGGGTGCCAGCACCATATGCCAGAGGTGGCAGGTTCAAACCCAGCCCCCGTCAAAACTGCAAAAAAACCCCAAACAAAACAAAACCAAAACTAGAAACATCAGTTGGGCATCTATAAAGGCAAGCATTTTTCCTGACATAAAAATCAGTATTAGTAACCCCTCTCATGCACTATGTGTAATGTGAGACAGAGTTAGTCTTCACAACAACCCTATGAGGTACAATTTTTATCTTCCTTTCATAGGTGAGAAGTAGGACAGTGGTTAGCTTGGTGGAGTCCCAATCTTGAGGACACAATTTTTACAAAATTCAAAGAGAAAGAAGCATCTAGGAAATAGAGCGTGCTCTTATGTTGGACAGGGGCAGCTAGATGTCGCAGGTTTTAGAGGAACAAGAACTTGAGGCTGTCTAGCAGGAGTGCTGGCTTGGGAGTCATACTGCACAGGATGAAATCTGAGACCACACCCCCTCCCCAATCTTTGCTGTGAATATTTGGGTAAATGACTTATCCTCCAACTTCGGCAACCTTGTCTGTAAAATGAAGATATTAAATGGACCTGCCTCATTGTGGGATTGTGAACATTAAATGAGACGATGTATGTGAAGGCTTAGTACAACTGGCAGATGGGGCGCTAAAGAATATTGCTTCTCTGTGCTAATAACATGGACAGAATTTATCACAAAGTTTCTTGTAATATGTATATTTCTGATCACACACAGGAGACTTTTTCTTCTTGGTTTCCTTGTATGGATTGTTGGGATTGAATGATCTGTGAGATGCCTTCTAGATCAAAAGTCCTGGGGGCTTATGGTTCTATGGATGTGTGCATGTGGGGCTTCTCCTTGAGGAAAACAGGATCCTGGGGCTGGAGAGGGGAGTATCTGACAGTGAAGAGCCCTCTAAGAGACCAGCAGCACAGCTGATGCCCTCATAGTGCCAAGCTCTAAAGCAGTGTGCTGGTTTCCTAATCTCACTGGGAGTTGGGCCATTATGTTTGAGGTAACAAATGAATGAAATCACCTTCCCAAGAAAAACCAAATATCAGACAGGGAAAAGAGAATCAGAGCCGGCTCTGGCGCTTCTCCATCTGGATCAGATTTCCGGGGCTGTGCCAACCTTCCCAAATGGGCACAGATGCAATCTTCAGAACTCTGACAACATGCATAGCCTCCCCAGGATTATTTTTAGAAGCTTGGATTCCTATCTTCAATGCAGCTAATTTTGCAAGAGAGCAGATGATGATGTCTGCCTTCAGTCGTTTCTTCTAAGACCTCTGGAGTATCTTAGTCAGAATGAAACTTAGGAAGTACCTTGTTCATTGCTCCTAGCAGTGCCCAGATCTGTGGAGTCTATGTAACTATTATAAAAAAAATCAGAGGGTCTGGGAGTCTGTTGTGGGGTATATATATATTTTTATTTTGCCAAAGAAGTATAAAAAAATCTATCAACAAACACCAAAATCACAACCCAAATGTTATCTGCTATCCCCAACACTTAGAAAAATAAGGGTATTTTTAACACTGAAAAAGGAGAAGGATATATTCTCAGAATGAAGGAAAAATCTTGACTTAAATATTCTAAATCTAACATTGCCAAAACTCACTGCCTTGTTTCCATCCTTGTTTTTCAGTCTCAAATCTGTCAGTTAAAATTTTCCAATTTTTGTCTGTGAAGGAGAATTTGAGAACCAGTGTTCTAATCCCTTATTCTGATTTTGCAGATTGGAACACTGAGGCGGGAAGGCAAGGTTGGTGATTTCATCTGCTAATGGTCTTTTGGGGGCAGAACTTGGTGTGAGTGACTCAGGTTAATAGGGAGCTGGTCCTGTCACACGCGGGGGCCTGGATCCACCTCCCGGTTGGCTATGGGAGGGCTGAGGGAAAGAGGTAGAACAGAAATGCTTTGGTCTCAGAATCAAACTACTTTCCAGTCCTATTTATCGTCTGTGAGATGTTGGATAAGACACTGGGGCCACTGTGTGTGGGCTTCAATTTTCCATATGTGACAAGTGCCAGAATAATCCCATCTTGTCTTTAATACAGAACAGAGTAAGCCTGGCCATCACAATGACAACTGACGTTTGGAAGTAGCCTTTGCGGGGTCCATCCTGCTCCTTATCCTTTCTTCTCAATCCTCCTAATCCTCTGAACATTGCAGGGCAGTAGAAGTCACATCTGGTTTATAGATATGAAAACTTCAGTATGAGAAACGTGAAAAAAAGTCACAATCTGGACTGAATGTCCCACTCTTTCCTAATCTGTCATCTTTTCATGAAGACAGAGGTGACAGCGTGTTGGAAAAAACTAAGTGGGAGAGGAGCTAATCTTAACGGAGCAGGTGCTGTGCCACGCTCTGTGTTAACGCCTTACATTCATCTTGCTTAGTCCTCCTGCCTCCCTGAGTCCTGTGCGGGCTGAAGGAGGGGCGAGGGCCACACAGCAAGTAAGAGGCCCACGAGGAATTCCAACCACGTCTGTGTGACCGTAGGCCTTTGTGCTCCTTTTCTGCAAAACTATAGGAATTGTGGCAAAGCTCAGAATGGCAGATCTCCTGACAAATGCATGTTTTGGTAGGAGATTGTGTAAGATGGTTTATCACCTTTCTGGGGCAGACACTGAGCAATGACATGATAATGTTCATATCCGGGGTTCGTTTCTCTTGTAAACAAAAGGTGAAGCTGGTAGCCTCCTTGACAATCTGCAGGTCCTGAATAAATGGTATGTGTATATATGTGGATACACACGCACATATTATACAGAGCACATTTTATATATAAAAATAAAATGTGTATGATATACATTATATGTTACATTTTTAATCTATACTAGATATAGAGATACATAAATATCTCTATATTTATATGTATGTGTGTATATATATAAAAGACCTGGATTCTATCTCTCAAGTTCTGTCAATTTGTAGAGATATTTTTCTGATTAAATCCTTTGAGCTGTCAGATGATTTGACAGAATTATCCAAACAACTTCTATCAGAAACTGTCTTAAAAAGTTCATATTAAGGAAGCCAAGCTGCTTTGGGAAAACAAGGTATTTAAAAAGAAAAATAAATCAGAGTGAGGGTCTTTTTGCAAATTTTATGGAGTCTTTTAATCCTTTCCCTCTCATCTTGATGGCTTTGATATTATAAAAATCTCAGAAAAAATCCAGAGAGTTTATGAAACCACAAATTTAGACAATAGACAAAAATTAGGAGATCTATGCACCAAATTATTACAGATGGGAGTTGAATTGCAGGGATATTTACTTTCTGTGTTATCTACATCTTTGATGTTTGAATTTATATAATGAACAAGTATTATCTTAATGACCCCCCAAAATCAATAAAAATGATTAAAAAACCTCTCAAAACAAAAACATTATGCCATTACTGTACTTTAAAAAGCAGCTATGTTAAAAATCCTAACAAATTTTAAAGTATTTAATCTACTTGTAATCACACCAATATTACATGGATATACTATCCTGATACAAATGAAACTGCAGATCAAGTTCAAGTCCTCTTGATCGCCTCTTCTCATAAACACACAATGTGCTGGGAGCCTGGTCTCTGCCTGGTCCTCAGAGGCTGCTGTGCCCTCATGTATGCAGTCTATGTTCACTCATACAACTATGTTCTGTTTGTTCTCTTTCACTATACATTTACCACACCATGTTTACAGAGATGGTGAAGGCTTTTTTCATGAAACAATATGCCCCGGAATTCTCTCTGTGTCAGTACAAGTGCCGTCTCATTCTCGCTAATCTTTTGATTTGCTTTCTATAGTCTTGGGTTTATTTCTTATTGTTAGAAATTTAGGTTTTTTCCAGTTTGGGCAGCAATTTAAGAAAATGTTTAAGATATAATGATGTCGGGCCAGGCACAGTGCCTCATGCCTATAACCCCAGCACTCTGGAAGACCAAGGTAGGTGGATTGCTAGAGCTCATCAGTTCGAGACCAGCTGGAGCAAGACAGAGACCCATCTCTACTAAAAATAGAAAAGCTAGCCAGGTGTAGTGGCCCACACCTATAATCCTTGCTACTTGAGAGGCTGAGGCAAGAGGATTGCTCAAGCCCAAGAGTTTGAGCCTGCTATGGGCTACGATAACACCACAGCATTCTACCCCAGGCAACAGAGTAAGACTGTCTCCAAAAAAAAAAAAAAATGCAATGATGTTAAAAGTGTAACAATAGGTCTGTTCTTTGTTATAAGGCCTTTGAAATAGTATATATATTCTGCATCCTTAATTTGAATGGAGAAGAGGTCAGTAGGGACCACTTTATTTAAGCAGAGTTCCATCAAAGTTTTCCAAGGTCACTTTTAAGGATATAAAATATTCTGCACTGAACAGCTTGAGTCACAAGGGCACTAAGGAATTCAGCCAAACTAAGAGGAACTTTAACAGAAGACTTTGGAGTTAACCTTGCATTTTAATAACACAGTGAATAAATGGCTACAGTGTATGCCATTTACATGTGAGATTGGTCCTCTCTGATCTTTAACGTAATGAAGATCTATAACAAAGTATCCAGACAGGGCAACTAGAGGGTTATAAAGCCGCAGAACTTTGGTGCTAAAAGGGGTCTTTTATACAAAGCAGAGCCTATAAGCCACATGGTTCAGTGACTTATCTAAGGTTGGGGCAGAAACAGTTAGAGCAGGTTTTCTCATTCCAAGGTGAGTAGAATTGTTTTTACTGGCAGAGTTTCTCACACTTTTCCAAGGAGGGTCCTCTATAGTCGTAGGTGCTGATGCCCCTGGGGTGTCAGGACATGGAATAACTCTGTGAAGGGGATTACTGAGAAGTAACATGTAGTAAGTATGAATTTGGAGCCAGCCTCTGTGCTGAGACACTTCACGAGAATTTATCTTTCCTTTCAATTCTGATGGGAAATGGAGACTCAGAGAGTGATCTGCCCAAGGCGCACTCACGTCGAGGCCAGACTTGACTCTCACCCTTCAGCTGTGCTGTGTGAGTAGCGACACCTCTACCTCTCTGATGGCTTATGCTTTAGCTCCTAAAATGCCTGAGGCAGACTAGGGGCGGAGAGCAAGCTGCGGGCTTGCTGGACCTGGCTCTGAATCATCGAGGTGCCGATGGGTCTGGGTAGATTATTTTCCTTCCCTGAGCCTCAGTCACTGATTCCGTAAAATGGTAACAATAAAGAACCTTCCTCGTAGGTATGTTGTGAGAACTAAATGAGGTAATCTGTGGAAGGCATTCTGTACACTGCATAGTATCCTCTTGGCAATTTATGAATATTCAGTATTCCTATCAAAATCAATAATAGGTTTACTCTGTCATATATCTGTGCTTAACTTATTCATTGTTTTGTTTAAAATCTTACAGGAAAAAATTAAAATAAGCCTCTACCCCTCCCCCCCGAAGGCAGACTGTGATTTCTCGCACCCACTGGAACTTGTGTAGCTGTGTATCCCCACTGCGTATGGGATAACACAGCCACATCCCTTGAACCGTTGCACTATGTCCACCAAGATTTGCTTCTCTCTTCCTCTTCAAGCTCTTTTCTCACTCAAATCTCTCATGCCCTTCATGGTCTGGCAATTCTGACCTTCTTACAGCTCTCCAAACAAGCGGTGCATTTTCACATGTCCCTGCCTTGGCACCACAACTCAGCCTAGAGGGCACTTTTGTTTTTCTAATCTGATGCCCAGAAAGCTCCTTCCCTTTCTCAACACCCAGCTGCCTGTGGCTTCTTCTCTGGACGCTGTCAGATTGCTTCCCAGCTCCTTCTTCTGTCCATCAGGACTTCTGTATCTATCACTGCTGCAATACTTAGGGAATCATTATTCTTCCTTGCCAGACTCCAAGGTTCCAAAGGACAGGGACTGGCTTTGCCTTCCCAGAGTGTTACATGGTGCCTGGCACATAGTGGGTACTCAGAAAATTCTGGTTGAATCACTTGGGTTAAATTCTACTTCATTACTTCATTACCCATTCTCTGCATCAATGGAGTACTGTGACTCCAGAATTGACCTTGATCATAACTACCACTTCTCACTGGAGTGCTGTGTTTTGTTCATCTTGGCATCTTTGTGCAAAAATATTCAGAACCATAGCAGGAAATGGAGTAACTATGTGTAACTAACATCAACCAGCCCTGGAGCAACAATAAAAAGGAATGGTGGTATACGTGTTTTCCATACTGCCTAGTGCCCCAGTAAACCCAACTCTCCTCCTAGGGGACCTCAGTTCCACCTCCTCCTTCACCCATGTCGCCTCCCATCTGATAGCTGCCCAGGAGCTGCGGTTTAAAATTGGGTTCCTTGTCAGGTCCCTGCTTAGGTTTCTGCCTCATCTCCACCACTTCATGGCATCCATTTTCGCCTCCAGCGATCTCTTATGGCTTGTCCACATATAGAGAGTAACATCTTTATTCTTGTTCTTTCCTCTGTATAAAATATCCTTCCCTGGTTTCTTCATGTAGATAATTGGTGTATAATTATGCACAATAAAAGTTGCCCTTTGCCAGTGTATACAGTCATGCAGTCTCCATAATCAAAATATAAAGCAACTATGCCATCCCCTGAATCACCCCACCCCTTAGCTATCCAGCCACTCACTCCATTCCCAGCACTCCTGGCAACTACTTATACCTTTTATAGAAGGTCTTGTAAATGGAGTAAAAAATATCTGGCCTTTTGTACCTGGATTCCTTTACTTGACATATTGCATTTGAGATTTATTGATGTTTCATTTATCACTGGACTCTTCTCTATACTGCTGAATGGTATTCTAAAATGAAATAAACAATTGGATTTGTTTATCTCATTTTTAAGACTCATGGTAAGAGTCAATTTCCTGGGAAGTATTCTCTGATCTAAGGGTTATATGTTGTCTCTGCATTCCCAGAGCCCCCAGATTTACCTTTATCATAGCACATTGTGCGTTGATGTATCCCTGACTAGATTAACTCTAGGAAACAAAAGTGCATTTTCATCATTTCTGTATTCCTAACACAGAGCACCATATATAACCCCTTAGAGCAGCCGTTCTCAACCTGTGGGTCGATCCACAGGAACTGTATTAAAGGGCCATGGAACTAGGAAGGCTGAGAATCACTGCCTTGGAGGCAAGTATGAATGGATCTTCCATGGAGTGAGGCAGCCTTAAAAGAGGACATTTTGATACTTTAAAAATGAACTCCCACCTGAAATGATCTCATTTAATTCTCACTACAGCCTTGTGACTGTGGCACTAAGATGCTTTACAAAGCAGGAAATTAAGTCAGGCTTATTTAAACCCAAAGCCCACCCTGAAATTCCTTGTGATAATGATATGCCTTTGAAACTTGAGACTCTGAATCTATGTTTTGATAGCAAATGTCCATCTCTTTTAATCTGTTTTCTAGTTCAGCTCTGACCAAACCAGCTGAAAAATGAAGGTACTGTCTTGTTGGCTAAAAACAAAGCTCTTAAGTTAGGTCAAACAAAATAGCGGTGGGATGGTCTAGCCGATCACTGGTTTTTGCGAACAGGCTAATTCATTCCAGATGGCTGGGGTTGGCTAGGAAATGGCAGGCAGCCACCTCTTCATGTGTGAGTATTGAAGCTGCAGCTGGATGGCACCTGGCCACGTGCAGGGGGAAGTAATGACAGGGGCGTGGAAAGCAGATAAAAGGACTTGGGTTTGATTGTCACTCAGCCAGCTGTCTCGCAATTGAGAAAATTAATCTGACAAACCTCCAAACTGAGACCTGTAAATAACTAACATCAGTCCCCAGTATGTGAGAGGGTTGGGGTCCATGCCTGGGGACGGGGTACAGAATGGAAATGGCATTGGGGATGAAGGCTGATTCCTTCTCTCCCCTAATTCCACATGCAGTCCCTCACTCCTGCAAAAGACTAGGATGGAATTAAATTCAACTCACATGGGCCAGTCGATCAAATCTGGCAAAGAGCTCGTTGAGCATCCTGACCAGCTCCTGAGCGGACAAGGTTGTAGAGAGGTTGGTAAATCCTTTAACATCTGCAAAAAGAATACTAAATACAGGGAGGGGGTGGGGTGGAAAAAGCATGTTAATATTTTAACATCCTGACAGACACATCAACACCATACACATAAACCCACTGTCGCTGTGGTCTGAGATTTTAGCTCTCCCTGCCACGGGATTCAGGAGGAATGTCTTGGTATTTCACAAGTATCTCAGTGGAGAGCGTCCACCCTGGAGTTCAGGAAGGGCAAGGGGACAACGGAAAGCCTTTCTTCCTGTGTAGAGCCAGGGACTATGGGCAATAGAAACAACTCAAGAGAGAACTTGTTGCTATGAATGGATCAATTTGTTGTGAAGAGCAAAATAAAACTTTATACATTATTTCTATATTTTCACCATGGACAGCAAGGCAGATGCCGTGAACATACAGCAGACAGACACAGGGGTAGGAGAGAACCTAAACACCCACCGTCCTGAGCCGGGGACAGGTAGTCTACCCCAAATGCAGGCAAGTGGAATTAGGCACTTCTCAAAAATTGTGAGATAGGTGGAAAATCAGGGAGAACTCAGACAGTTAACTGTAACTCACAAGAGTAAGGATTTTAGTTAGATGAGGTCTTACGCTATGCATGTGGCCTGGCCTAAGGGAAGGGGCAGTTCTCAGAAGCCTTCTAACCTCCAGGCACTATATGAGCACTCTCTTAGTTAATCCATGCAGTTACTCTGTGGGGTAGGCACAGTTCTCTCCATTGAGGAGTCTGAGGCCCAGAGGGACAAGGAGATTTTCCCAACATGCTCCTGGGGCACAGCAGAGCTGGGATTGTCCACTTGGCTGAACTGCTCGGAAAGGCTCTACCTACCTTACCTGATCACCTCAGGGGCTTCTGAAAAGAAGCGTGAGACCCCAAACAAAATATCATATTTCATCATTTCTCATATTTTATTTTCTCTGAAACTAGGATGTGTCTTCCCATGTGATAATCGTAACAGCATGTCAAACTTTTTGCCTTTTCTCCTAATGTTGCATAAAATATTGTTGAGTTTTACAAAATTAAAAAAAAAAAACAACTTTCAAGGTTTTAATAAAATAGGTAATTGGCCAGAAGATATTCTGGAATATGTATTGATGTACACTGGTCACTATCTGTATACACTGGTTCTTTGTCTCTGTTACAAATTCCTTTAAGAATCTGATATAGACTAAGAATTCTTTCTCCTAAAAAATACGTATGTATTCAAAATTTTGCACCTAATTTCAAGGTATTTTTTTACTTTCTCCAAAGTCCATTTATGGAATCATTAGGAACACTTAGACCTCAAGTTAAAATTTATTGCTTTAGTTAATTAGTTAATGCCTCATTCTTTCATTAAATATTTATGTACCAACTATATGTTCAGCTATACATCGTGTTAAAAAGTTGGATTAAGGGCAGTGCCTATGGCTCAAAGGAATAGGATGCTGGCCCCATATGCTGGAGGTGGCGGGTTCAAACCCAGCCCTAGCCAAAAACTGAAAAAAAACAAAAAGTTGGATTAAATGATAAATAAGATCCAGTGCCTGCCCTCAAGAGGCAGAGTCTGGGGAATGGAACTGGGAGACAAGGAAAAAAACAGGAATAGTGCAGGGTGACAACTTCTGTGATTGAAGGAGATATTAGGGTGGTGACCAGTCAGCAGGGTATCAGCAATTTCCTAGTGGGGCAAAGCCTCTGCTGAGTCTTGAAGGACTAATAGAATGTAATGAGTAGAAGGATGGATGCTCTGAGCAGGGAGTAGTACATTCTAGGGTCTAGTAGAAACGTGAGCAGGGTCTGCAGGTATTCAAGGGCAGAGGGTATCATTGAGCAAAGAGGTTGGAAAGAGAATATCAAGCATGGAGAGGTCAGATGGGAGGCCAGAGGACTGATGAAGAAGCAGCTGGTAAGCCAGGAGGGAGAAAGTAGACTTTGTCCTGAAAGTGATGGAAAGGTAGTTAAGGGGTTTAAGCACAGGCATCATGTCTTCAGATTTTCAATGTGTGAAGCTTCCTCTGGTAGAAGCATTATATTGCCACTGTCCTCTACAACTTTGTGGTGGCATAGCCTACAGCTATGTGCATGGATTAGGATCTAGATAGATCTGGGTTCAAATCCCAGCTCACTGCTTGTGAATTTTATAAACTTGGGCTATTTCTGCACTTCTCTAAGCCTTTGCTTTGGATACTGAAGGTAATTGTCATACTTACCCCTTGGTGGCTTGACTGGTTAGCACAGTGCCTGGCATAGTAAATACTCCTTATGTGTGTTAGCTTTTGTTAATTATTTTCCAAAATTATACTACCATTGAATAATTATGTTTGAGAAAGGAAGAAAGGGGAGAGGTAACAGGTAGGAAAAAATATGGCCATTAATTGGATTATTTATTACTTGCAGCTGAATGCATTCCTATCTGTTGACATGGCCTAAACTGCCAAGAGCAGCAACATGTACAGAGTATTTACTGTAAAGCTGGTATGGCTCTCAGAGCTCTACGTGCATTCATTCATTTATTCAGCACAATGTATGCAGTAGGACATATTACGATCATCTCCATGTTATAGAAAAGGGAACTGAGACCTGAGTAACTTCCCATAGTTATGAAGGGCTAGGATTTGACAGGCAGCCTGACTATAGAATCCATACTATTCATTGCTATGCTATGCTACTTTTGAAATAAGAAAAGTCATTGCTATGGCAGGTGGGAAGGGGAAGGGCCTTTAGTAAATTTAGCTCCATCCACTCTCTTTGTAGATCTGTACACCCATCTGCCCATGGCAAGAATGGTTCATTCACTTATGCATTCATTCATTAGCTTATTCAATAAATAATTCATTAATACTTAATGAATAAATAAATATTCATTAAATATTCTACTATGCACCAGGCACTGTAGAAACAGTAGTGAGTGGATAGTACTATCACTTCATGGAGCTTACAGCCTGTTGAGAGAGGAAATGGATTCCCTGAGAGCTAACATAAAAATTCCAGATATGCTGTGTTCAGTATCATCAAATTTCTTGAGGTCTTCTGAGCCCACCCTGCTTCATGCACCAGCTTCTTTGTACATGATACACCTGCCCCATGGCATAGATTTTGTTTGTTTCCTTTTTGCTACCTATTAAAATAAGACTTGTCATTCAAGATCCCACTCATGCATTAAGACTATACTTTTATGGAGAATTCCCCAAGCCAGTTACCCCCTACATAGCCAAGCCAGTTACCCCCAACTCTAGCCTCTCACCTTGCCTGTACCCTTCTCTGTTATGGCACTTAACAGGACAGTCACATGTGGCTAAGCTTGCTCCATTCATTAGCTGAAGAATGGGAAGAAAGTCACCTCTGTAACCCACCTACTCAGTACATGGTCAGCCTTATTATATGTTTCCTGAGTCCAATAACAAATACTCAGAATTAAGTCCTCCTTCCTCAGAGTGTGTTAATACTCTCTCCTGAGAAATTGTTAGTCATGCAGAATTTCCAGCCCCTGTGCCAGACCCGCTGTATTGGAACCCACTTTAACCATAGCCCCAGATGATTCGTGTGCAACTGAGGACTATCTTAGACTGAAAAGCATTGGTTTAAGTCACTGTTGTGCAACAAAGAACACAGGCAGAAATCAGGGCCCTAGTTCTCATTCCATTGCTCATTCGGCTATCCCCAGATCCTGGGCTCAGAGTTATCAGGTCTTCTGATTTATAGCCTTTTCAGATGAATATACTGAAGGGGTTATAGTAACTTTCAACTCTATTGGTTATGTAAGTTGTTCATTGGACTAAAAAGAAATCATGCTACTTCACAGTCACTCTCCAAATAGAATCCTCAAGGAAGCTTCAGCAGAGTTCAATGGAATTGTTAGGAACATCAACCTTATGTAAACTCCTCTTCCTGTGTGTTCCTTGGAAAGTTACTTAACCTCTCTGAACTTCCATTTTCCTGATGATAAAACAAACATCATTAAAGCTACTCTTGGGCTACTGTGCAAAGATAACATGTAAATCACAGCATAGTCCTCAATAAACGGGGTGCATGAAACTCTTTCTCAAAGTTTTGGGAATCTGGGAATGCTTAATTTCCATGCAGACATCTAGAAAGTCAACAAATTCTCTACATGCATTCGATTGTATTTCACTTATATGTGAGAATCAGGTCTACAGGGCAGATGTAGTGATCACACATGGTGACAGGTCTGGCTTAAAATAAATTGCCCTTGAGAAAGTAAACAGTATATTGAAATGTCTACTATGACATAGGAAGAGATAAAGGCTAACTTGCTTCTGAATAGACCTCCAAAATATGTTAACAGATGTACTGATTGGAAAAAGGGAAAGGAGCTATGACAGAGAAGGCCGACTGTCTACCAAACCCAGCTGCCCTTTCCACATTAATCCACCCAGAACTGGGAAAGGCCACTGAGCCAGCAGCATTGTCCCCAGTCTCTTTTGTATCCAGGTGGGGCCCTGCGATCATCTCTCACTAATGGAATCTGAACAGAAATGACATACATCATTTCCAAGTCCAGGTGGTAAAAAAGTGAGTGTCCACTTCCACTTCTATCCCCTTCTGAAAGCTGAATGCTGAGAACTTTGTGGCCCAAGAGGTGGTATAATAGTTACAAAACACAGGGGCTTTTGTCCCTGAATCACTCACTGACCAGGAATATCAGCAGTGGACTCTCATAGACATAAATTTGAGTGAAATTGGGAAATAATTGGAAAAGAAAGATAGCATTACCCTAATGAATATACAAAGAATCTCAGATATCTGGGGGAGGGGGAACAGGAAAGAGAAATAAAATTGGGTAGGGGGGATTGGAACCCCAAATGGTTTCAAGTAAAAAGCTGAGTGGCCAGGTAAATGTAGTGAAGTCTGAGAGGTTTATAGCTGAAATCAACTTGAGAGTTCAAATGCTCTGCCCAGTTTGAACAGCTCAGCTTTTGGATTGGAAACTGAGGCCCACAGAGATGGAATGATGTGGACAAAATCTCGTCAGGGGTGTGTCTCATTCACAGGGTTCTGACCTGGCGACCCAGCTCTGTAGGCTTCCCATCTCCATTTACTGACAGAAGGCAATGGACTATGTGAAATGTAAGTAAGACTTAGAAATGTATAGCAAACAGTTTTTTAGGAAAAGGTCATCAGAATGTAAGGAAAAAAAAAGCAACAGAGAAGGAAGAATGAACAGGTGGGTTACCATGAAGAGGGTGGCAGGATTGGAAATAATTTCAAAAATGCTCCCAGCACAGCAGCAGGTGGGTTTGCTTTGGGGGCTGCGGAAGGGGGCGGAGCAGCCGGGCAGCTTTGTATTCTGATGAGGGCTGAGGACCATCCTCCTCCCTGCTCTTATTTTAGCCGAGACAGGCAGGGCAGGAAACTAACTTTTAATTTAGTGGGGCATGAACTTCGGGAAAAGAGCCTCTCACATAAGAAATCAGTTCACTGATTTAAAGTGGATGAGCAGGATTGGAGGGGTGGGGGGCAGAAGTCACGTTAGCTATTCAGGATGAAAGTGCAGAGAGGAAGCTGAACATGTTCGTTGAACTTCAGGCTTCCGGCTCTGTGGGTGTGGGCGGGCCAGCCTGTTTAATTTTCCAATTTTTTTCTTTTCTTTTTAAAGGTAGTTATTTTTCATTCTCTCTTTCTCCATGGTGACAGGCACTTTCATAATATGCCATATATTTTATTTATATATTTATAAGATTTGCATATATTTATATAAATAATTATATACCTTTGTTATATAATTCATATTTTATGCACTATATGAATATGCATTTAATAAATGGATATACATATTTATTTATTTGCTTTGTTTTAAAATATTCATTCGATTTCTGCTCCCTCTGGATCTGCCTTTATTGTCAAGCCATTTTATCCCCAGGGAAGAAATAATTAAAAACTGCCATAGTTCTCTGCATGTACCAGGGCTTGGCCTTCCCTTCTGCGGTTCCCTTTCCTCAGAATTCACATCTTTGCTGTTTCCATTGGGTTGACTCAATCTCAAACAAGGCCGATGAGAATCATCTCTTCCAGGAAGTTTTCTCCACCTGCCCTCATCTTCCCACCTTCACCTCCCTGCCCCAGATTTTCATCTTCTTGTGATCTCTTGGCATTTGTGGCCTATGTATGAATAGAACTCCATACTGTGTTGTGATTAATACCTACCTATTGTAGTAGAATTTGTACTGATGAGTTCCCTAAATCTGTGGGACCAATGATACATGTGCCCAGTGACATATTTCTTACTGGAGTAGCTACTTGAGAAAGGGCCATTTGCAAACTCAAGCATCTCAATCAATGTAGCTCAATTTTGGGATCAGCCCCTGGGAATGACTTATCCTGCTATGTCTGCTGGGTTGGGTTAGAATCGTCCTTTCTGCTGGACATTGCTTTAAAATGCATGTCTCTGGCCGAGGGTGATGACTCACACCTGTAATCCTAGCACTCTGAGAGGCTGACATGAGTGGATTGCTTGATCTCATGAGTTCAAGACTAGCCTGAGCCAGAATGAGACTCTGTCTCTAAAATAAACAAACAAACAAATAGAAGGGTGTTGTGGCAGGTGTCTGTAGTCTCAACTACTCGGGAGGCTGAGGCAAGATGATCACTTGAGCCCAAGGGTTTTAGGTTGCTGTGAGCTATGATGCCAGGGACTAACCAAGGGTGACAAAGTGAGACTCTGTCTCAAAAAAAATTAATAAATAAAATAAAATGCATGTTCCTGCATGCCAAGAGTAGAATATGCCATTAGGGTGGTGGCATGCAGTGCCAGGGCACAGGGCTTGGAAGCACAAGTAAAGGACTGTTTAGGCATCCTACGCTGCCTAGTGCTCTGGTGTGATGTAGGCCATGCGTCTCACTCTGTGGCCTTGCCTCATTCTGGCCCATTTCCCCAGTCTGCTTCTCCATTCTTTTCTAGTTATTCTGTGAATCACCATATCAGCTTCCAATAATGTCTCTTAAATCAGCCAGGTTTGGATCCTTTTGCTTGAAACTATGATACATGTCTGAAATGACCTCCGATATGCCTAATTGTCCCCTGAATGCGTAACCCTGCCTGTCCTATGTTTTGTACTGATCTTTACTCACATAATCTAATAAAACCCTGTATGGTGGCTATTAAAATGCCCATTTTACAGCAAAGGGTCCTGATACTCAGGTGCGAAAACTGCTCAAGGTCACAAACAAGGAAGAGGCAGAGTTGGGATGCTGAATCTGGTCTGCTTCACTGTGGCGTCCACCCTTTGGACACTGTTGAGCGGGGTGCCTAGAAGGCACTAATGGACAAATGGACTGATGGATTGGTGGGTGAGTGGGTGGACTGATGAATGATGACTGAAAATATGTTTGCAAAGGAAAAGAAGCTGTAGTCCTTTTCACTCATTAGAAATATAAGGAAGAGCATTGCTTCTCAGCCCTTTAGATAAAATCAAGTGTAGAAATATCAAGAGGGAAAATATGTGATCACACTTGAAACCTCCAGATTGAATTCTGAGATTACTTTTCTAATAATAGTGTAAAGAGTGTTTGTTTCTCTTTCCCATTCAAAATGCAAAGACAGGCGAGCCCCCTACAGGGGAGCCTAGCAATAAGGCAACTAGCAAATATCATTGAATTCTCTGATGTTCTTCTCCAGCCTCATTTTGCAAAAGGTAAAACTTGCTGACGAATAATCACTAGTTAATAAATGAACCAACTAGAGGAGGAAGGGGCTGACGTCCAGGCAGTCAGAAGCCACAACAGTGTGTTGAGAGGAAGCGGGCGAGGGGTCAGCAGCACTTCTCACCTGACATTCTCGTAGCGATGGATGTAGATGCGATGGAATTGGTGCTGCAGGTGCTCGTCTTCCACGTTGGTCATGTCGTTGATCATTTCCAGGACCACAAACCGGGGGAGCACAGAGAGCACAAGCCGCTCCTGAAACAAAGTGATGAAGAGGGGCGGTCTTGTTAGGCTGACCAGAGCATCTCAGAGGGAGGAGGGCACAGAAGGTCTCAGGCTCTTGGATGAAGAGCTTGTGGAACCACTAGCTTCGTACATTCTCCGAGCATGACAGCTCTCTGTTGAGGACGTACTATTTGCCAGGTGCTGTGCTGGGCGTTGAGTGAACCCAATGGATGTGATTCTGACTGTTGTGGAGCTTCCATTCTAACAGGGAAGATACATTAAGTATTATACACCCAAACACATCTCCACACAGTTACAACATTTGAAAATTGTTATGCAAGAAGAGGCCATGAGAGAGTATGATGGTTGGTGGCAGTGATTCAAATTAGGGATTAAGAACGACCTTAGCGAGGAACTGCTAAGAAATGGAGACCTGCAAGTTTGGAAGCAGTCAACCCTCTGCAGGGCAAGAAGTTCAGGAAGAGACAGTAGTGACCGAAAATGTCCTGAGGCAGCAAAGAGCAAGGGTGTGGCTGGAGAGGGGTGATGGGAGGGTGCAGTAGTTTGGAGGTGTAGATAAATCTTGCAGGCCAGTGTAAGATGTTTGCATTTAATTCCAACCACAAGTGGAAGCCAATAAATAGTACAACACAGGAGAGTGACATAACTGATTTACATTTAAAAGATCACTTTAACTGTGGTTGAGAGAGTGAGTTGTGGAGGCAGAGAGACCAGCTGGGGAGGCTCCTGCAGTGGTCTAGGTGAGAGGAGGTGGTGCAGATTAGATTCCTAGGCTTGCCAGGGCACTGAGATGGTAGGAGAGAGAGAGGGCATACCCAACGCAACAGCTAGGTTTTGAGTTTGGTTGATGGGCAGAGTGAGCTACATTTATAAAAACTGGGAACACAGGAGAGAAACAGGCTTAGGAGGTACCAATCCTTTATCAAAGATGAGAGGAAGTGGGACACACACAGCAGAAAGTGAGGACCTAACACCTGGCAGAGTCATATTCTCTCTATTGTGATCACTGTGGTAGATAAAAAGCAAAGTAACTGGTTAACTAATAAGACTCTGGCTTCTGATGCATGGTTTATTATAATGTTGAGTTGAGCTTGAGACAGGTGCATTCTAACCATCCTAGTTTCTCATGTCTTTGGAGGCATTTGTGGATCTTAATTGTTCTCACCATCCATTCTTTCATGCATTTCTCACAAGTCCCCTGAAAATAAGCACCCAGAAATAATTACTTTCATTTAATGGACAGACTGAGTCCAGAGAGATTAAATTAATTGAAAATTATCAAATGGTAGTGGCAAGGCACAATCCTCTCCCTGGTTATTCCTTGCTGGGATTCTTGGTGAGCTGGGAAATACCCTGAACTCCAGATGAAGGAGTTTGCATCTGCCCCCTTCACTTGGTAGAAGTGTAGCGTTAGATAAGCTATGCCTTCCTCTCTGTGCCTTAGTTCCCTAATTTGGCAAATAGCAGTGATACCTGATTTACAGGATTGCTGTGAAATTCAATGCAATAAAATATGTGAGGGGCCTGGCATAAATTCCTTCTGTCTGCTCTCACCTATACTTAACCCTGCCTCTCATGAAAAGGCTTTATTAATGAAGTGCCCACTGAACATCATGTGATGAAGCTTTTTTCTCTCTTGAAAGCTGTCCCATTGTGGGACTGAGAGGAGTGCTTTCTGCAAATACCCCTCCATCATGTGCGCCTTGTGGTCATTAGAGCTGTTTGTCAGCCTCCCAGGGACTGGTAGCCTGTCCATCCAGTTGGGGCTGGATGGGAGGAGGTGCTGTTTAATTAAGATGCCATCTGCATCTGCATCTGTAAGAGAGGCAACAGAGCTGGAATACAAGGTTCACAAACATCCCGGGACCCCACGGTCAGTTTATGAAAGTGTTTAATTGCAAAACATGCTTTCATTAATGCTGTGCTGGGGTGATGTCTCGGAGCTGCAGCGGCAGAAAGATGGAAGGGCTGGCCCTAGGATGGGAATAAAAGGGTGGTGCTGCAGCATGTAAGGGGCCCCGAGTATGGGGAAGAGACAGACGCTGAAAAGAGGCATTCCTTCCCTGGACCTGGTTACCAAGATGTTCCACTCTTAAAATCAAGCCTGTGGACATATTTATGAGGCTGCCTCATGGATTCTTTGACCCCATCCATCAGGATGGCCTGAAGCTTCATGAATGAGCAGCTGACCCAGCCCACCCAGACCTACTGAACTGGACTCTGGGTGGAGCAGACAGACAGGTAGAGTTTTTAAAAGCTCCTCAGGTGTTCTGTGCTCAGGTAGGATGAGAACTGCTGGTCTACTCTGCATTTGGCACTGCTAGGCACATTCTTACACTCGACCTTTACCACGGTGCTACCAAATGGATACTTGCAGAATGAAGCAAAAGCATGATTTTAGTAAACTGGTCACCTAGCAACATGAGCACCTAGATCATAAATAGCTACAAATTGAAACCAAATTCTCCTGACTCCAAAAGTAGAGATACCAGCTCTACTCCCTATAAAATGTCTTTCTAATCACCTTTTACCTGATCCACATGACTCTTTAACAGAGGTCCTCAAACTTTTTAAACAGGGGACCAGTTCACTGTCCCTCAGACCCTCGGAGGGCCGGACTGTGGGCCCTGGAACAAGTTGGCTGCTAAGCAGGACAGGCAGCAGCAGCAAAAACACCGGGCGGGCTGGATAAATGTCCTAGGCGGGTTGCATGGGGCCCATGGGCCGTAGCTTGAGGATGCCTGCTTTAGAAAATAACTAACTCTAAATTAAGAAGGTAGGATATTCCTATGATAGGAGGTAAGCGAAGGAAAAACTATTTTCACTAAGGAAGGTGGAGAAGAGTTCCCGAAGGAGGGTTCCTGAAAAAGGGGTGAGGTTTCAAATATTTTTCATTCATTATTACATTAATTAATTAATTCATTTATTTAACAAATATTTATTGAGAACATACTATATGCCAGCTCAGTTCTGGGCATAGGAGAGAGACACACAAGGAATGAGGCAGCCAAAATCTGGGAGGGAGGTTTTACAGTTAATGACTCAGAGGTATCCGGGCGGCATGACAGGAGATGCGTTCTTAGGAGCTACTGTTTATGTGTTTCTGAGAGCGCCCACTATGGGCCAGGCCCTAAGTTACGGCAGAGCTTCACACAGAACCTCATGTAACGGTCACCATGACTCTTTGGCAAGAATATCTCACTGTAGATTATGAACAAATGAGAAAACAAGGCTCAGAGAAGTAATAATGTCCCAGCATCACACAGCAAGGACTCCAGGGCCTGTTGGGAGCTTTCCCTTCACCTTATCAGAGAAATCCATTCCTAAAAATCATCCCTCAAAGCCCAATTCTCAGAAGTGGAAAATGTAATTACCTTTGAGATTAGAGGTGCACAGCCTGTCTATATTAAACAAAGCATACAGATGATGCTGGATGATTACTTAATTGAACCCTTAATGGAAACAAATAAAAATCAGAATAGTACCGTTAAAAGACATCAATGAAAATATGCAAGTGATGCCCAGAATTTTTGCTACCTGATATTATGCAAACTAAAAGTACTTTTTTTTTAATTGTAAATGAGAAGTTGAGAAGCTTCACAGCTGCAAAGATGACCCCATGAGGAGTCTCCTTTGATTGGAACTCAGCTGATCCTGAGGCATGTGGACTCTGCATTGGCTCTCTTGATATGTCTGGAAAGGAGGTCATTAGGTGCAGTCAGTCTGCAGTTAAACCTGTGCACTCAGTCAGTTGTCTCTTTGGATGGGAAAGTGCATCCTTGCTTGGCTAACCCTTGTTTTCCTCCTTGCATCCTCCATTCTGAGCTCGGTCATGGAACGTCTGCTGTACTGAACTGAGCACGGGTGGTTACAGTGTGTGATGCTGTTCTTCAGCTCAGCAGCGCTTTTCTCCCTTGTCATTTCCTTTGGTTAGTCCATGGACCCTTACTCATCTTCAAATGTTAGGGCTTATCTCATTTCCTGAGTAGATGGAGAAGAGGAGTCACTCCCTCCCTCCAAGAGTGTGGTCCTATCCACAGATGTTTCTCACATCACTTATTATACCGCATGGTACGTCTCTGTTTACGTAACTCTGAGCTCTTTGAGTATGTCTTTTTATATCCAAGGCCCCATAATCCCTTCCATAAAGGGACCTCAATTAATACACAAACAGTGAATGAGTTAGCAAACCTCTGGTCTGAATATGAAACATTGGAATAGATAACTGGGCCTGTAAGGGACCACTAACCTCAAACAACATCACAATAATAATAGCCTAGACTGGGGTTGTGAATCTCTCCAAATGCTAGGCCAAGATATTCATTCCTCAACTGCAAAATCCTGAGATGGTTACTGGAAACTGCTCAAGGGGGTGGCAAGGACGTCCCTTCCCGCAGTTTGCCACAGCTGAGGCTGCAGCCACTCCCAGGGCAGAATCTGGAGTGGCCCATCCTACAAACTAACAAGGGCAGTGGTTCTGAATCTTTTCTTTGGGTTTGAAATGTGGAACAAGTGACACCATGAAGCAACGTCATCCATTGGGAGTGCCCGTGGCCTTCCACAAGGCCCACAAAAATGTGTGAATAAATCTGGGTATTCATAAGGGATATTTTATAAGCAAGTAGGTGGTAAAAACAACAATCTTAAGATGCTAAAGCAACCCAGCTTGTTAATAATTGTAGATAACTGAATAAATAAAAGCAAGGAAAGCAGCTCACTTTCTTGAGGACCGTACCTAGGGTTCCCTTCTCCAGAGGGCCCCCCTTAGGCCCTTGTTTAAATGGCCATGCACTCCTGTCCTCCCACTTCAGTGCTCCTTCCCTTCCTGTTTTATGTATTTTTTCTTCTTTAGCACTCATCATTATTTAACCTTTTATATCTTATTTATTTACCTTGTTTTTAGTCCAACTATTTCATTTAGATACAAGCTTCACAACGGTAAACATTTTGTCTTTTTATTTCAGTACAATCATCCCAACCCTTAGAGTGGTACCTGGCTAAGAATAGCC